GGAGGCCCAGAGGCTGTGACGGAAGCAGGGAAAAAGGGGAGGGTGGCGTGGACGGGCCCTGTGTCCCCCAGCGGCGGGCGTGGTGGCGGCAGCAAGGGGAAGGCTCTGCCCAGGCGGCACACGGGCCAGACACGCGCCAAGAACCCAGGCACAGACAGCGGCGGGACAACCCTCCTCCCCTGAGACACGATGGAGGCTGAGGGACCCAACCCTGGTACCCTGTACCCCAGGACAAAGAAGGGGCCCCTGCTTCCCGAGACGCCTGAAGCCCTGCCCCACACGGGCACCTAGAGGCCCAGAGCAGGTGGAGTGGACAGGGAGGACCCTGACCTCAGGAGAGCCAGGAGGGCTGTGCCACTTCCTCCCGGCTCCCTTCCACCTCAGCCCCAGCCCACGGCGGCAGCGGAGCCCAAGCTGCTCCACCAGGGCCTGGAGGGGGGGAGGAGAGAGGAGGGAGAGGAGGAAGGAAGACATAGGAGGAGGACGGAGGAGGGAGAGGAGGAAGAGCAGGAAGAGGAGGAAGAGAAGGAGGAGGAGGAGGAGGAGGAACTCACCTTGGGGCACCGCTGGCTTGGCCTTCTTTGCAGGTGCCACTTCGTCAGCCCTGGACTCAGAAAAAGACGCCGTCCTGCTCGGGGCAGGGGTCTGGGGGTGGAGAGCAGGGTGAGAGCCCAGGCATGCGTGGCCCCAGGCGCGAGGACATGAACTGGCTAAGGTTGTCAGAAGCACAAGCTGAATGCCCAGGCCGGGACAGCAGCACAGTTCAGGGCTGTGTGGGCCGATCACCACCCAGGTGTGCTCCCGGCAAGAGGGTCTGACGTGAGTGAGCTCAGCTCTAGCCTTATTTACTATTCTCTTTGAGACAATGTCCTGCTATTAGCCCAGGCTGGCCTTAAACTCTCGGTGATCCTCCTGCCTCAGCCTCCCGAGGGCCGGGATTATAGTGGGCGCCACCACCCCGGCCTGCACTCAGCTCATTTTAAAGCCTGAGCCTGCCCATTATTCTACACCGTGACCAGGCCCGGAATCCAGGCGCTGACTGTGTTTCCCCGGGTGGCAAAGGAGGGGTCGGGTCGGGGCACCACCTACCGACGTGCTCCCGCTGGCGTTGAGCAGGAAGTTGGCGGTGTGGGCCGCCGTGGGGGGCTGGTTGGGGATGGGCCGGTGGCCCAGGGCCATTCCCACGATGGCCGTCATGTGGGTCTCGGTGCCGAAGACATGGATGGGGATGCCTGTGGTCTTCCCTGTGAGGCAGGAAAAGGAGCGGTGACTGGCGTCGGACCGGGGCCCCTGCGCCCAGGACACCAGGAACGTCTGCAGCAGCCGAGCTCCAGGCCGGGACTGGGCTCGACGGTCAGCACTGCAGGCTCGGCACCCTTCCCGGGCCCTGCTGACCAGTGGGACACAGCCTGCAAGAGCAGCGAGGCGAGGACCGACGTGGGTGGTGGGAGGCCCCGGCCTGGCTCAGCCAGACTCGCAGGAGCCTGGGATCAGAGCCGGCCCAGGCCGGGCGCACGGTGAGGCCAGGGCCGGCATGACGCCGCCCGCTGTCGGAGGACGGCTGTTCGCCCTCTTCGCTCTATCCACGGACCACGTGGCAAGATGGAGGCCGGGAGGCGCCTGCAGACCCTCGCTGCTGCAGACCGCAATGCCTCCCGAGCCACTGCTGACTGAGGCCAGCTGGCCCTGTCCTCGGTGCCCCCAGTCCGAACTCCTCTGCGGCCGTGTCCCTCCCTTGGTGGCCTCAGGCCTCTGCCCCCCGGCTACAGATTCCTAGCTGGCAGCGTCCTCTCCATCCCGTCCTCCTCTGGCAGAACTCGGGTCTGAACCACACCCCCGGCACCTTTGGACTCTTTTATCTTAGTTTGACACAGGATCTCAAGAAGTCAGTAAGCTGCCCAGGCTGGACTGGAACTTGTGATCCTCCTGCCTCAGCCTCCTGAGTGGGATCAGAGGCTCAGACATGATTCCTGACATCATCCACTCTTCCCCTTGATGAAAGTTCTGACTGTGGGTGCTGTGCCCACCCCAGGCCTGGCCCACAGCAGGCAAGTGAAAAGCAGCACTTGGCACGGCTTCAAGGGATCCAGGGGTGTGATACTTGGCAGACACCACGTGGGAGGAGGAAGTCTGTCCCTCCACAGGGGGTGCTCACTTGTCCATCTATCCCCCCTGGAGCATCACAGGCAGCATCTTAGCAACAAGGGCTCCTCTTTAAAGCCACAGCCACCAGCCGGGCACGTTGGAGCACACCTCATCCCAGGAGGCAGAGGCAGGAGGGTCCCAGCAAGTCCCATGGTTCCGCTCCTTGGCCCTCCACTGCTGCCTCAGATTCTCCAGGCCCAGGCTCAAATGTTGCCTCTGGTCCTCCCCTTTGCCTGCTTCCTTCCCTCACTAGCAGCCCCCAACATCCAGGTAGCATTCAGAGCTCCCGAAGGCTGCCACAGGCCGAGTTTGTAAGCTTGAGGGCTGGCACCCAGGAACAGCCATGTGGCTCAGTGGTGAGCGCTCTGAACACACACAAGACCTGCGTTCGATCACAGTATCACAAAGAAACCCAATAAAGCCCAGCCCACAGGGCACCCAACACAGAGCAGCCGTTCTACGGGTGTTCTTGTTTCTTTCCTTTTTCTTCTTTTTTGCATGACCAGGAACTAAACCCAGGCTCTTCATACTGAGCCACATCTCCAAGTCCCTTTTAATTTTTTATCTGGGGACAAAGTCCCACTGTGTCACTCTAGCCCAACACAGCCTTGAACTTGTGCTCCTCCTGCCGCAGCCTCCCGGAGTGCAGGGTCACAGGCGCACATCACCACGCCTGGCTGTCTCCTGAACGCTTTCCAGTCACGCTCAGGTTGTGACAGTCCTCTGTCGGGGGGTGGCAGAGAGTGCAGGCAGAACACAGCTGCATATCCATGGGAGGCGGAAGCAGGAGGATCACACATTCAAGCCCAGCCTGGGCAACTTAGCAAGGTGCTGTCTCAAAGTTTAAAAACAGAGAAAGGCTTTGGGATATAGCTCAGTGCAAAGACCCTGGGGCTCAATCCCCAACAGTGCCCAAAAAAAATTGAAAGAAGAGAGATAGGCAAGGGCAAGAAGAGCCCGGAGATGGAGGCCAGCGCATCTTACCGACTTCGCCCATCACGCGCAAGCCCTCCTGGTAGTTGGGGCCACCTCTCCGGACAAAGATGGTGACCTCGTGCTCCTTCAGGGGACCCTGGTAATCTCGAATGGCTCGCACGATACCCTGCAGGTGCCAAGGGACAACAGAGACTCGTGACTACACCAAGTGGCTGCAGTCACTCACGATGCTGGACTCGGAGCGTCAGCTGTGGGCAGCGGGCAGCAGGACCAGAGGGGCCGGAGGGGCCGGGCCCTTCCT